CCCCAGCCGGCCCAGTCCAGCTCAGAGCCCCCCGGAATTCGCCCCACCCGCCCCCACCTGCTGCCCAGGCCCCGCCCACAGCCCCTCCTCCCTCTGCCTCTCAGCCCCCAGGGGCTCCCCTTGCCTCACTAGGGCCTCCTGCTCCTGTCCAGGCTCCTCCTGCCTCCCTGCAAGCCCACAGCAGGAAAGCAGACCCTGGGAGTCCACACTGGGGAGGGGAGCAGGAGGGACAGAGGCCAAACTCAGGGACTCAGGGGAGCAGGGAGGGCACAGTGGGGCAGGCTCTGCCCAGAGAAGAGCAGGCAGAGCTCAGGGACCACAGGGCCCTGGGAGGACTGAGGAGGGACTGAAATGTGCCTGGAGAGGTGCAGTTCCCCTACGGGGGGACAGGCTAGGGCCAGGCCCGTGTTCTGGGGAAAGGGAAAGGCGGTGCCACGTGCAGAGGGGTCCAAGACTCCGTGATCTTCATCAAGGAACCAGGAGACAGCAGGACACTGAGGCACAGGAACTAGGTGGGTAGGAGTAAGGACTGGGGTAAGGGCTGGCCGGAAGTCACCTGGATCCAGCCCTGTAGCTGACTGCAGGATTGGGGTTTTAAGTAGTGGGAGGCTGTGGAATAGGTTCGAGGAGATGAAAGTGAGGACCCACACAGGTCCGCGGTCCCGTATCTGAATTCTCAGTTCAGAAAGCCACGCCCTGTGGAAACTGTGCTGCCAACTTCATTTGAAAGGAATTACGGGGTGAAGGTGGAAAAGGAGGAGGAGGAGGACAAGAGGAGTTCTCTAGAGCAGCTCTGGATACTGTCCTTACTGTCTGTGATGGGTGTGATGTTTAAGAGCACAGTGAGTGCCAAGGCCAAGAGCCCCCCCACATCCCCAGAAAGGAGGGATCAGGAAACCACCATGGTGAATCCGCACCCACCAGGCTCCTCTCCACAGCCCTGTGCCCTGTGACTCTGGCTCCTCCCTGAGTCACAGTCACCATGGACGGTGGATGCTCTGAACTGAGGGAGGAGCCAGGACAGG